TTATTGTTTCTATGCTGAACCTTTTACGATTGCATTCTGCTGAGTGAGATGAATCAGAATTTTGCAGAAAGAATCACTTTTTATTTTCTAGCTTTAAACATACATCGAAACATTTAAATTGCTATTAATACGGAGAAAAAGGTTATACTGTAACAGATAAATATAAGCGTCAAGCAAATACCATAGGTTGCTGTGGCCAATTCAAATGATTTAAATCAGTGAGCCAAAAACTATCTGACTCGGCTATTTAAATCGTTAGCTTTCGGATTTAACGCATTCAATCTGGTCCTCCCTCAGTAGAGAAAATTATTCGGCTGCCTTTCAGTTTATTCTTCTTTCCTTCTATTGCTGTCAGTTCTGAGTCGACCTGCAGATTCATTTGGTTGGAATAATTTACACTCGTTCGGCAATCTGTTTGTAGGTGATGATGGCTATTTTGATTCTGTGGTGCTCACGCGAGTGAATGAATTTTCCCATGCTTGGGTATGATTTCACATCAGCTGGAAGTGACTTTCTATCTTGAAGATTTTTAAACATTAATTTAACATTTTGGTGGTCAACACACACACAAACAGTATGTGTGCCACTCGTTCCTGCCAGAATGCAATGCTTAGGGCGGTTACTTGCAAACATTGAAAACCTTTTTTTAGTTGCGGGATATTGATCCTTGAAAATGGCATAAACTTCTTGCAAATTACACAATACTAATCTTCGTTGTATATAAACCTTACCATCAACATATTTTGTAATAACATAGTCGCGTTTCCCTGGACGAGCTCGGCTTATTTCGTCACTGGTATAGAAATCACGCACGAGTGATAAAGTTTCTTCTGCTTCCTGGTGTCGTCATTATCCCCTTGTCCTCCTGTAGTGTTTTGGTCCGATCCGACATATATTGAGAAACACCGAATTCCTTCGTTATTTTATATGCTGACCAGCTTCTAGGTAAAGTCGTGAGAATGCGATACTTCTCATTATTATCATGAGTTTCTAGAAACTTTTCCTTGAGTTGCTGAATGATTTCATCATCGTTTGTAGTAGGCACACTGTCAGTACTTCTGATCGATTGTAAACTGGGTGCTTCTAGTGACTCTGAAAATGAAGTTAAAAAAACATATTTGACATTACTGTAAACACTACACTACATTCAAGCCTGACGTTACAAAGTTTTCAGAATGCTATAATGTGTGACCGACGACTTTCGGGTCACAATTAATTGTTTGGTGGAAAGGCCAGTTGGAGGTTTAGACACACTGAAAAATTGTAAATCTTAATGTTTTGTGTCGTCTAAGATTTCCCTGGTGCTCGAATGTCAAATAAATGTCTGTCTCCGCTTTGTATAGTGTTTGAGTGACGTTTATTTTTCATTTTGTAGTTTAAAGGTGTGTATAATTAACTGTACATTTAAAAGACGGCACATGTAATGCCCACCTCAGACGGTGACCGTGGCTAGACCAGCTACCAGAGGCTTAGATGGAGGTCCCTCTGACCTCTGAAAAAAAACAGTTAATTGTAGACTTCCTGGTTGGTATCCCGTGTATCAAAATATTTGTTTTGATTTTTGTTGTTACTCCGGCTGTAAATATTAGATTTTTAATTTATTTATTTATTGATTTATTTATCTACTTATTTATTGATTTATTTATTTATTTATTTATTTATTTATTTATTTACTTATTTATTTACTTATTTATTTATTTATTTATTTATTCATTATTTTTCATATTTTTTTTATTTATTTGCGGAAGCAAGTGTTATGGATTTTGAATTTGTTTAGGCTATGCATGCAGCCACTTTGTCGGAGTAAATGAGTAGTTTGTTTATGATACCAACCGAAACCATTTTAGTGTGTAAGTTTTCGTACCGTCATCACGCTAAAGCCCTACAGTAAAAGTATGGACGACTGTCACCACAAAACTGAAAAAAGCTGTTCCAATCGAGCAAAGCGGTGCATACTTTTACTGTAGGGCTTTACATCACGCCTGTCATCGTTCTGTCATCGTTCCGTCATCGCTCCTGTCATCATTCGTTCATCATCGGGATTCATCGTCATCGTCGTCATCTTTGTGTGTGTTGTGATGATAATCATGATGGGGTCGCTTCAATTGCGCTGACTCATCGACTGCTATAAAAATGGGCGGTCGAATAGAGTCAGGCCTCTTTTGTATTTTATTTGTCCGGCGGAGTGAAGACAAGTGACGGTTGTGCGAGTTAGTACGTTAAAAACTAACCGTAGTAGTTCCGCGTAAGTTTGCGCTTAAGTATAGATTAAAATTGAAAATCTAAATCTTAAAACTTACAAATTAAAGTGTTAAAAAACAGCGATAATACCACACAACTTATAAGCTTTAAAAACATTAATTAGTACGGGTCAATTGTGGAAATCACCACGAACGGCTAAGAAAGTGCACCCCAAATATAAGACGTTAGTCTTAACCGCGTTATACCGCATTGACCGTTAACGTGCGAATAGATCAAGCGAGCTAGTGGTGAACATTTAAAAAAACTGCAGTTGAAGTGAACAATGTACAGTGGTCGAGCGGACAGTGAAAATAGTGGTATTGCGTAAAGACTGTGACTGTCCGTCTCACAAATGGTGGTGCAGCTTGCTTGATGACCACTTAAGAAGAACAGTGTATACACGAACGGTACCACACCCCGGACACGGAACTCTGGCCCACGATATGAGAGCCTTACCGTCACGCTAGTGATTCCCTTGTCAAGAGTGGGAACAGTGAAGCTTAGAAGTACCCCGAAGACGAAGAAGAAGTAGAAGAAGAATAATAATGATTTCGTGAAGAAGAGTTCCGGAGATCAACGAAGTCCCAGCCACTTACAGATGTTCCAGAGCAGATCAACAATCGGCCGCAACGGTGAGCTCACAGCATGGTTATAAATAAAAGGTTTACCTACAAAAAATACTCGCTTATTTCTCTTAAAAAATAT